CCTTCCTTCCTTCCTTCCTTCCTTCCTTCCTTCCTTCCTTCCTTCCTTCCTTCCTTCCTCAATGGGGGAAGAGATTAGACTGTTTCTGTTCCTCATTAGCAATACATATTTTCCTATTGTCTTTAAATGCAACAAACGTTAGTTGGGGAAGCATAGTTTGCTGCATTTATATGTAATAGGAACCTATAGTTTGCCACTAATTAGAAGCAGCAGCTTTTAAACTTTTATTTCCAAGTTCAGATGAAGAGAAGGAGGGAATATGATCCTAATTCCCATCAGATGCCACTTATTTCATGATTTGAAGTGTTATCTATCTAGATGTGCCATATACTTTCACATTATATAGTAGGTCCTCCTGAATCCAAGTCCTGGCTTTTAATGTAGTGGGGTGGTTTAGAGTGGAACTTTCCCAAACTCATTGTAGGCATCTTTCATGATCAAAACTGTTAGGCATCCCTAAAACTTCCTTGTATCTTACTTTATTTCATTCAACAAAGTCCTCTAGGTATCGGTGAAGATTTGGGAGCTGATCAGGGATCTTATAGGGAGAAGGACTGGAGAATTCCAATACTTCCAACTTCTGTGCAAATGCCTATATTTGTATTCAGCTGGTTTTAGGATAGGTCTTATGTGTGGAAGGGGTCTGCATCTTTATTTAAAAAAGCACCAGAAGGTTATGCAAGTAGTCCTTGAGTTATGACCACAACTGAGCCCAAAATTTATGTTGCTAAGTGGGACTATTTTTGCCTCATTTTATAACCTTTCTTGCCACAGTTGTGAATCACTGCAGTTGATAAGTTACTAACATGGTTGTAAAGTGAATCTGAATTCCCCATTTACTTTGCTTGACAGAAGTTAGCAAAACTTCTATCGAACCCTGGGACATGACCCTGGGACACTGCAACCGTCCTAAATATGAGTCAGTTGCCAAGTGTCTGAATTAACTTTTTTAAAATATATGTTTTATTGATACATTTTAAAATAAACTTTAAAAGTTCCATATCTATCTGAACAGCACATTGTCTGAATTTTGATTATGTGACCCAGTGGTCGGTTTCAAAGCTTTTTGGAACCTACTCTGGGTGTGGCCTGCTTTGTGGGAGTGGCTTGCCAGCCATGTGACCATGTGGGAGTGGCTTGCCAGCCATGTGACTGGGTGGGAGTGGTTGCCGGCCATGTGACTGGGTGGGAGTGGCTTGCTGGTCATGTGACCGGATGGGAGTGGCCAAGACGATGTTACTGAATTCTTTGCCCCAATGGATGATCTACAAAAAAAAGATATAAAAAGGAAATTTATTATTTTGTGCACTTACTACTTAAATAAGATTAAAATAAGTACACAAAACAATAAAAGAGCTATGTACAGAAGGAAGATGACTGACCTTTCAAGTCTTCAATATCATTGACTCCAATGAATGGCCTGCACAAAGAAGAGACACAGAAATGAACT